GACTCTCCTGAGAGACAGGTAGTTTATTCTGCTGCCCCAGCACCCACTTGTTTTTACAGCAAGAAGTTATGAGGCTTTATTTTCCCAGCATTGGATCCCGGGGCTGCGTGGTCTGCCCTCAGGCTGGGATTGCTTGCTCCTAAGTTTTATCCACGACATGTTTATCCACCCATTTCACCAGCTGCCACTTCCAACACCTCTCCAGTGCTACATTGCATCCTCCCTGCCCCAGTTCCTTGTCTCCACCCCAGCTCCTTGTCTCTACCTCTTCTACCCATCTGGATTAATGTGTCTTCTTTAAACCTTTAGTTGTCAGACTGCCAGATTTTCTGGCAGTTCTGGGTGTTTCTTGTTTTGAGGTTAGTTGTGAACCTTCTTGTGGTTGTGTAAGGGGGCAAAGTGTGTCTACCTATGCCTCTACCTTGACCAGAAGTCAGTATCCAGTTGTTTGAATTTGAATTTCCATGAATTAACAGAATGCACATCTTTTCACACTTATAACAGATTTGTAAAATGATTTTTTAATAAAATGTGTCCATTTTTCTGTTCCATATTTTTCCTTTTCTCATTGACTTACAATAGTTCTTCATATATTCTGGAAACGAATCTTTTGTCTTCACTATACTAAAGCTTCCATCTATAAACATGTAATATCTTTATTAGGTTTTTTATATCCCCTAATAACATTGTTATAGCTTTTATGCACACTTGATTTTTGGTTCATTATCAAGCACTCCTGAAGTCTCTTAATAGTTCTCATAACTTGTCAGTTGATTCTCTTGCAATCATGTTTTCAGCAAATAAATGTTTGTCTCCTCCTGTCCAATATGTGTGGTTTTTCTGACTTTCTTTTCTTATTGTGTCCACTACAATCAGACCTGCAGGAAAATTCAGAAAAGTCCTGGTGATAGTAGTCATCCTTGTCTTAGTCATATCTAATAGGTTTGCTTAAATGTCTTTTTATTAAGTAGTTTTCTGCAGGTAACATTTGTCAAATTGAGGGCATTCTGTTCTGTTTTTACTCATTTATAGGGTTGCATATCACCAAATGCATCTATTCAGATAAGCATAATTTCTTCTTTAATCTATATATTTTGTGAATTATATCAATAGGTTTTATATAGTTTTGTACCAATCTTTCATTCCTGGTAAAAACCCTTTATAGTTATATTTCAATTACTGATGTTTACATCTGTGTTTATAAGTGAAAAAAGCTTATATGTAACTTTCTAATAAGGAAAATAAATACACCAAAATAAAATATTATATGTACATACTTTTTCATTGTTCATTACAAAGAAAGTGTACTGGTAAAAATATGCTTAATTTTTCTTTAAAAATTTGTGCGTAAATTGTATATTTACACATAATTGATCTGCATACCAAAGGGTTGGTGGTTCAATTCGCAGTAAGGGCACATGCCCAGGTTGCTGACAAGTCCCCCAGTTGGGGGCATGTGAGAGACATGAATAGATGTATCTCTCACATATTGATGATTCTCTCCCTCTCTTTCTCCCTCCCTTCCCCTCTCTCTAAAAGTAAATAAATACAATCTTTAAAAAAATAAAAATCGCCACCCATAATTTTTTAAAAAATGAACAAATGAATTTGCTTTATCTTGTTCTGCTACCTTGTCTTCCAAATTGCTGATTTGATCTTCTGCTTCATCTAACCTACTGTTTATTCCTTCCACTGTATTCTTTTATTGAATCCTCACTCAAGGACATGCTTACTGATTTTAGAGAGAGGGGAAGGGAGGAAGAGAGGAAACATTAATTTCCTGCATTTTGTTGACTGGGGACTGAGCCCACAACACAGGCTTATGCCCTGACCAGGAAATGAACCCATGACCTTTTGGTTTGCGGGACGAAGCCCAACCAAGTAAGCCACACTGGCCAGGGCTGTGGCATATTTGTCTCCCCATTTTGGCTGCCTCTGTTTGTTTTTATGTATTAGATTTGCTATGATTCCAGTCTTCATGGGGTAGCCTTATGTAGTAAGTGTCCTGTGGAACCCCATGGCACTGTCTCCTTGACCTTCTGTAATGGGTACTCCAGGGATGTCTCTGGTGTAGGTTATATGGACGATCCTGTTATAACTGAGATTTGATTGCTATTGGCCCATTTGTGTGTGGTGTCAACCTTCAGGCTGGCTAACTGTGAAAATCAACTCTGACCAAAGTGTACGAGCTGCTGTGCAGATGCTGACCACTCAGTAGGGAATTTGCTTCAGCAGGGTCTAGTGTCCACCAAGATCTCTTTGGATATGCTCCTTGTGAAGCTAATTGGACCCTGCTCTGATGTTGTCTGGAGCTGACCATTGGGTGTACTCGTTCTGGGGCCTCTAGAATGGAACTCTTGTTCAGATCAGTATCAGACACTGCATTTTACTGGCCCTGGGCAATGTTTGGAGCTACAGAGTGAACCACATTTTGTGGGTGCCTCTCCTGGCCCTGGGTGTGTGCGGGAATGACCAAGCTGAGCACCAAGGCTCACTTTTACCAGTACTGGACCCAGGGGCAGGTCTGCAAAAGTCCCTAGAAACCCTGCGGTCTACCTCCACCTGCCTGCTGCCTGTTAGGCTCAGTCACTGAAAGGGCCTCCGGTAATGCTCTAAGTTGCATAAGGTAGGTTCTCAGCAAGAGAGGTATTCTCCAGATCTGCATGGGTTCAATGTGCCAGTGCTGGGTCTGAGGACACTAAGCAAATGTCCCAGGGTATACAAAGTTTAGCTGCCACCTCCTGCGTGCTTGCACACCTTTGTGGTGGGGTGGAGTCTCAGGTATTCGTCAGGGTGAGACCAGCAGTTTATCAAGCCTAGTTATCGAGCAAGACTTGGCTGTGTGAAGGGAAGGCTCTGCATTGGTCAGGTGTATAAGGGAAAAATTTCCTATTCTAGGGCCATGCAATTCAGTCTGTCCCAGATTCTGCCAGAAGCCCGATCTCAGTAGGGAGGGGCCAGTGGGAGTCAAGAAGGGAGGCAGTGATGGTCAGGTTTGGGGAAAGTGGCCCCTGCCCAAGAGCCACACAACTCAGACTATCCCAGATTCTGCCCAGGCCACTGCAGGGTGGAGCCACCAAGAGTCAAGGGGGTGGGGCTGCTGGGAGCTTAGAGTGGAGTTAGCGAATGAGGGGGAGGTGTCAGTCAGGATCACAAGAAAGGGAGGGGAGTTGCCCTGGTTCCTAAGCCACTAACTCAGTCACTAATAACCCTTGAGTCTGCTCAGAATGCTACACCCTGGCACAGGACTTTGAGGACTTTGACTCCTTAGCAGGGCAGAAGCTCCGCAAGATGGGTCGACAGGAAGACTAGAGGGTTGGGCAATTGTTTTCCCCTAGGCTGAGGTTGCACAAAGGGGCATGCTCTCCCCAAGAAAGATGGCATCTGTGGCGCATTAGAGCGACTCAGCACAGGGGATTCCAGGGGTTTTCCCCTCAGCTCTCTCCCCACAGCCACAAAACCCAGTCCCTCCTCACAGGACTCTAGTCTGCCCTACCCTCCCTCCACCAGAGCCCAGGGTGAATGGCTGGAAAAGAAATTCTGTGTGTTGGCCCTTTAAGAGGGTGCCTGGGTCTCTAGCAGATGCCTGTCTCTCCCTGGTGGACAGAAACCCCACTGCTTTTCACAGCCAGACCTTATGTGGGTGCTTCTTCCAGGTTCTGGCGCTCTGTGCTAGGGAGGCTGGCTTGGGCTTGAAACCCCACACTTCTCAAGGGGAATCTCCCTCAGCTGAGATACCCCTCTGGAACCTCAGCCACTGCCTGTGGGAGCGAGGCCAGACCTTTTCACATCTCCTCACTTCCTACCAGTCTTGATGTGGCTTCTTCTGTAAGTCCTTCATTATAAGACATCTCTTCAGCTAATCTTCAGTTGGTTATTCAGGTTGATTGTTCTATATTTTAGTTCTAATTCCAGTTTGGTTCTGGGAAGCATGAATGTTGCTGACATCTTGTATCTCTCTTTCTTTATTCTATATTAGCTCCCTAGAAGCCTAGATCATTTGTGCATTCAGTAGTCTGTTTAATGAATGAAACAAATAAAGAAAATTTCTTTTAAAAATAGGCTGTATTAAATTTTTCAACAAAGAAAGCATCTTCTGATTATGTTAACCAGATTTTCAAAATTGAGTTTTTAAAAAAAATGGTTTTTTTCAAGGTAACCTCTACCACCATGAAACCAGTTTACCCTAATGACAATTTTAAGGGTTCATGAGTAATTCTGGAGCCAACTAACCTCTCTAGGAGTTCTGATTAGATACATGCTGCTTAGAGGCCTCTTTTAGATTACTACTCTTCAGGTGCTGGTAGTCAGTCATTATTAAAAACTGAAAGTATTATTTTGTAAGAATGTGTCTTCCATGACAGACTTGTTCTCAATAAAGTCCAAATATCCTGTTGCTTTCTTTCTCCAAACAAATTAGTTTGGGTCTATTATAGTTTGCTTCTCAAGTCAGAAAACAGAGCTCAGAGTAAAAAAAAAAAAAATTTAGCAATGTTATTTGTGTAGGCTGAAATACTAAAAGAAGAGACCCTCTTGCATCAGAAAACCTTCCTAACACATACACAGTTCAATTTCATGTACGGTGGTGTGTATGATCGTGAGGGTAAAGATGGCATTGATAAGCATAAGAGACTTATAATCTCTCTTAGCCCAAGACAGTAACAGTAGTTCTAATTAGAAACTATGGAAAAAATACAAAATAAACAGAATCATTTTAGTCTTATAATATTTTAAAAAGAATCTAACATGCAAGTCACCAAAATAACCCCTAATTTCAGAGAAACAAATTATGACTAAAGAACTAATGTTTCATGATGATTTTTTGAAAAACTATTTCATTACTATAAAAATAATATATAAATATATTATTTTACAACAAAGAAAGAAAGAAAAATGAAACCTGCAGAGAGAAAAAACAGCCCAGATTTTTTTACCAAAAAGGCAGAGCCTGGGATTAATTTTTAAAGTTTATTTGTCAATTTCAAAACTCACTAGTGGAATAAAGAGCTTAATATAGGTATGCAAAAAGGAAGCCCCCATGAGGTTTTCACCAGGATGAAAGGGGATTAGCTTTGTAGTTCTTATAATCTTCTTCACAGAAGAATGCAATTTCAGTTTCATTGGCTGAAAAAAAGAAAAACAGAAAATGGAAAATAACTGTAACAAAAAATTGGATTTTAAACAAGTATGGAAACACACATTACTTTGACTTAGTACTTTAGATGTATAAAGTGAGAAAGATGAGTTATTTCTTTGGTTTTACATTTCACCAAATCAACAAGAAATATAAATTGGAGTTGTAAGAATCTAGAATTCAAATAATTTAACATAAAAAGAAAAATACACAAAAAATTAAAAACAAGAATTAACACAAGAATCTGGCTTTCAGGAAACCATAAATTTGTTCATTTATAGTCCTCTTAAAAGTCCTAGAAAATAACAAACCTTTATTTTTTTTTCAAATTTGCTCCTCAATTACTGAAGGAGGAGGAAAACTCTTTTTTCCTCTGAAATTAGCCTGTAGGTATAATAATTTAATACTCAGAGGATCAGTAGAATATTTTACAGATCACTTTACATTCTCCCTCATGACCCATCAAAATATGTGTCTGAAGAAGTTAATTTTTTGCCTGCTTATGATTAATTCATGAGGCTTCAACAATATGCAAAGTGAAAGACACAAATTGGCTTCTACCGCAATACCTTCAAATACCTCTAATTATTCACAGGGGATATGGCACAGCTAAAGGACCCACAAAGGTTCAGAGCAGTCACAATTCTTTCAACCTAGCGGGTCAAGGACTCTGTCTTCTAAAACAATAAGTCAGCAACATTATTAATTCAGACTGGAGACAAATCTGATGGAAAGCCTTCCAATTATTAAACATGCAATTCTTTAAGGTGTTGCGCCAACAAGTTCCACATTCGTTTTTTAAATTAAATCAGAAGTTAATACAGTCTGCTTAGCTTTTACAAAAAGAGCAAAAGGGCCTTCAGAATGTATAAAACAGACAAGATTATCTGTAATGAATACTGATCACTCAATTAACATACCCTCTAAAATCAGACAAGTAAAACTCTTCAAGACAAATAAATAAGATAATAAGAAGGGACGCCAAGGATTAACACTTCGTTTACAACTCTCATTTCATTATTAGAATTTGCCACAAGAGAAGGAAATGAAAGACTTAGCATGACATTTCATTAAAAATGTTTTTGCTGGTTTTAAGAATATCAAATTTAATGTCTCTCAATTGTAAGTTACTCATGCTCATTACAGAAATGTTGAAAGAAGAAAATAAAGTCACCCAGAGTCTCAGATCCTTATTCCAGTCCACTACATGAAGATTAATCTTGATGAAAATCAGATCTCAAACTCTCATCACAATAAGCCTTGGGGAGCATGGGAGAGGGTACAGCAGAGAGATACTGGAAATCAATAGGGAGGGGTACATTTAGTTAAACTGTACCTCCTCTAAAAAGTATTTTAAAAGAATGAGTAAGAAGCTCCACAGCTTGAATTAGTAAAATGCTGAAAACAGGCTTCAAAAAATCCAATATTCAAAGAGAAAATTTTGAGATCTATCCTTTATATACAAAGATCCCGAGGTTTCCTTTTTGAAGGGGAGCAAACCCAAAAATAGATTTATATAATTTGCAAGTGATTCTAATCATACTTTTAATGGAGAATGAGCAAAAGCACCCAGTTCTTAATAATCACAATGCAAGGTTTTATCTACAACATGCTATTTACATTCAGAACTTTACAGAGTGCTTTGCTCACACAGCACTTCACTCAACACATAACTGTAATTACAGCATTCACTTACTGCAGTTCACATTTATCTGTACCCCTTTTAAGAAACTAATACATTATACAGCTCTTCAGTACAGTTCTAATAGGTTCAGAATAAGCTATGTAAAGAAGGGCAGACAAAGCATTTTTGTTTTGACAGTAGGTTCTCTTGGGTCTAATTACCTTATAGATCAATCCATTATTCATATAAAGTATTTATGCCACCTCTCATAATACAAGCTCAAAATAAGATATCTAAGATAAAGATTTTATTTTCAGACGAATGCATTTTTTTCAGGAAAGCCAGATTGACAAGTGAATTAAATTCCAATACTTCAGGCTGATAAAAAATTGTATCCTTAATAAGTTGGAAAACAACACAAATTAAAAGTTACTCTTAACATTCAAAAGTAGACAGAAAAAGGATTTTAAACTTTAAAAAATGTGGTCCTCAAACAGATATATAATGTTTTTAAAAAATCTGTAAAACTCAGTTGAAAATGTTTGAGAGAATAATTTCATGTACTTATACTGCAAATTTAGTTGCCCATTAAAGTAAAAATGAATTATGAGAGACTTTGAAGATTCTACATAATCACCCTTTCCACCATTTTCCCTTAAATTCTTGCTTCCCAAATTCTATTTAAAATGGCTGGGAAAGAACCCTGGGAAGTCTGCTGTGTGCTGGTCCCCCAGGGCACCTGACTTTAAATTAAAAGTGCTGCAGGCGGCAGCACGCTTGGGTGCATGGTGCCTCAGCCTGTGAATCTGAAATGAACATACAATCTAAAATCCAATAAATACACTGCCAGTTCGTCCCTTTGTCTTACTATCAAATGAAATGAAGAGCCCTCCAAATACATTTGTGGGTCATTTTAACTCTGACTTTCAAGTTTAATGACATGAACACAAGGCAGAACATTCAAACATCGGCTATGAAATCAATAATTTTATGTTTCCAAACAGGTCAGACACAAACACATACACCTTTACCAAGAAATGATAATGGCTTTAAAAAAAGTAATATATAAAAAAAAATATTAAATATAAAATCTCAAGAAAAATTACATGCAATATACTTAAAACTCAAATAGCACCTCAATAAACTGGCCGGCTGATGAGGGTTCACTGCCTAATTTCTAAGACTGAGCCTCATATTAGTCAGACCAAGAGTAGCGTGAGGCACAGCCACTGTTGTCTGAGAAGAGATGGACACATGGCTACTGACTTTTTGGCATTGATAATTAATGATCAGGGCAGGCTGTAATGCGATAATAATTGCAGATTATTGGCAAAAAACAAAAAAAATACAGGAAGAGCGAGGCGTGGTTTTTGCAGCAATTTGAGACCCAAAGGACAAAGTTCACTGTCTCTCCTGCTCCAGGAATATATCCTATCCTTCTACGGTTCATAAAATCCTAATCTACAAATCATTCAAGACTGTGCTGGCAGCTGAGTTAACGTTTGTAAATTGTCACCAAATGAGGTCAACAATCCAGCAATGAGGTTCCCAACTACCTAGGCTTTTGTTTCATATTTGCTTCAAGTGCCCATTTCAGATTAGCTGACAGAAAGGACTTCAAACTCAAGTTTGCAGCAAACAAGTAGTGAAATAAATCTGACCTTTGACAGACAAAAACCCATGCCTGTGGTTTCCAAGGCGAGGGTTAAAAAAAGGCGAGGTGAGGCGAGGGTTAAAAAAAAAAGAATAATCTATGGGAGGCTCACAAAGGCCTCTGCTCTGCAAATCCCCAAATCCCGGAGTCCACTGTCTCCTTTAAGAGTACCAGACAATGGCTGTTATGATGTGAACGTGCAGAACAGCCACCTTAAACGCTGGAAACACAAATCAAACACAGTATTGTAGGGGGGCAAGGTACCCTACAATATTAGCTGTATGCAGGTGCCAGGCACAAAGCGGGCCTCTGGCTGTGGGCAGACGACAGAAGTGACAGACAAAAGGAAACCAAAGCACAAAGGAGTTTTGGATGTATTACAGGATCTGGCTTGACGTGAACTCTCCCCCCAGATCAGCACTGCGGTATGGCCCACTGTATCTTGTTTCAAAATTTTTCCAATAAAACACAACTGTCTTTAGAAGAGTTTTCCCAACACAATTTTTCTAAACTAGAGAGAATTCAAAAGGTATAATAGTTGTAGAATGTAGCAAAATGAAAGGTAAAATGTCACCAGAAAAACCTTACAGGCAAATTTATTGCTTAGGGGAACTAGTCCATAAAATTACAATTGTTAAAAAACAAGGTAAAATTCTTTAAATTCTAAGTAACAATTCTAGGTAAAGCCTTCTTCTTCCTTCCACAGAGCAAATCTTTTTACTCATGTATTTTAGCACTAAGTCCACAAACAAAAACTTCCTCTGTTGTCAGCCAGAATATACAATTGGGATCTGCAATGCAGATAAAAAGGCCAGAGTAGGAACTGGAGAATTTCTCTGTGAGAAAAGAAATCTTCAAACAAGTTTGTTCCCCTAATTTCCCCCCCTCACAGTCTTTCTTTTTCCTTTCATGAATTCTGCAGAAAAGTCATAATGATAAATTTGTTACATTGGCATTATTCCCATGGCAACTGACTATGATAGCAGACTGACAGCTCCACAGCAAGATCAACTGGTAGAAAGGGAGGGAGTGATGACTTGGAATTTTTCTCTCAAACCTCTTAAAAACCTAACCAGACACGGCACCAAGGGAGGTCCCTAGAAAAATCACACACTTCAAGGATCATCTTTATCACTCTACTCCCACTTAGAATTTCTTGTAGCTCTCCAGGGACCATTACCTCCTTTCCCTGCTTAAATGTGGCTTGTTCTCCAGAGTACACCAACCCTGCTCTGTGCAACAGCGACAAACGTGCAGAAGAGAGAAATGTACGGGCACTGAAGTTACCCCCGACCAGGGCTGTGGGCTTGGCAGGGCAGGAGGGCAGCAGAAGCTCTTGTACCACCCTGAAACTAGCAGAGAACTCATGAAAAGGATCTGTTTCTGATCAAAGGCCTATGGCCTGAAAACAAGAAAGACAAAAAAGATGGATTTGATTCTGACCTTTATAGATGATCAAGTATGTAAATCTGAAACTAACGACAATTAAAACAGTAACTCAATATTCTAATATATTCAAAACATTTGTCACTTTTTTTCTCCAAAATAGTTTTTAAATAAAGTATTTTTGAGGGCTTTTACATGCATTCCTCCAGATGCTTTCATTCTTCTACTCATCCTTTATGGACCCCCTCAAGTGGGTTTAATTATTTCTGTTTTGTCTCACAGAAGTTTAAATAGAAGTTCAGAGAGGCAGAATGGCTCACATAGAAGGTCACAAAGCAAGTAAAATGCAGAGCCTTCATTCAAATCAATTTTATCCAATTTTAGAACTTTATTCTTTACCAGTAATATATCTAACTTATATGTAAACTATAGACAAATGTTAAGTTACAAGAACAATTATATAGTATGGAGAAGAAAGAAAAAATTCATTTTTAGCAATGCCACCTCCCAGAGAAACCATTTCATAATGTTGGCAAAAGATCTTTTTTCCAGATACACATTCAGACCTGTAAATATATACATTTTTAAACAGTAAAGGTATCACACAATATATTCTATTTCCAGTCAATAAATAAAGTTCTACATCAGTGATGCACACATAGGGAAGGTGAGAGAGGACACTGCCACCTCTCTGAAGATATATCTCCACCTTGCAGGAGTCACAGAGCTTGAGGAAGAAGCATGCTTCTGTTGGCTTGGTAATAGACATGACAGCACATTAAGTTTGAGACAGTTTTATTGGTCAAACTGACCAACAGAAAATTATAGGTAATGCACACTCCCAACAGTAGTTTGGAAGAGTATCCATTTCCCAACATTATCACATTTTTCATGTCTGTGAGTCTTATAATTACTGCTGGTCCAAGGTCACCCAGACAGTAAGTGGCAAATCAGGTGGTGAACACAAACACTCTGGCTCCAGGCTCTAATTCTAAACCACTAAACCAGTATACTACACTATACTACATACAACAGAATCATTATGGTGCAAAAGCTTTTTCATAGTTTATTGCTTCTCCTTTGACTCTGTTTATATTGTTTTTAAATGTGGTCAGATCTTTTACTCCTCACTTCATGGCTCTGACTTCACGGTCGTAGAGAGCTTTTCTCCACCCCAAGATTATAAAATTATTGAGCTACATTTTTTTAAACTTTACATTATAACACTTAATCCATCTAAAGTTTATTTTGGAATAAAGACTGATATAAACATTTTTTATATTATTTTCCCAAATGCTTTGGCAATAAGCCCAACATGATATTCTGGCTAATTTATTCTTTCCCCACTTATGTGAGTTGCCAAAAATTGATCAAACTGTAAAATCTTACTTTTTTTAGTTTATTTTTGGATTTTCTGGTCTCCTCCATAGATCTGTCAATTCCTACATCAATACTAGTCTGCTATATTCTTTATAGCTTTATGCAGGTCTAGCTCTTAGGGGCCATGTGCCTCAATACACAGGTGCCACCTGCTATAACATAATAGCATTTGAAGAAATAAATGCTAAAATAAAAATTGTTTTTTCAAATAATAGCAATCAATCTTATGTATAATAATATGGTCATTCTCATGTATTCATAACATGGAAAGACACTAATATAACAAATAGTGTAAACACAGAAAACAAGTCTAAGATTTCATAACATGCTATTTAAAAATACTGTTTAAGTTGGAAGATGTATCAGGAACTCACTTTGGCCTCATGAACCACTCAAAAGTGAATTCCTGACATCTGTGACTAAAATAACTGAACATCTGTCAAAAAAATGTAAGCCTTCCTCACATGGACCTCACTTAGAGTGTTCCTTAACCAGTACATGTAAATAACTATGAAGTGTGACTCTTGCTGTTTCCTTAAAGTAACTGACCACAAAGCTCTGTCAGAGGCACAGTGCCTTCACTGGCTCACACCTCTCTTAAAATCTTCACTCCTATGGCTGATGATCTTTAGGTGAATATATCAGTAGAATTAGAGTGACCTCTAATGGCCACAAACTATGTAACAGAGCATTTCTTTAAACTAGAACTACATGCCTTTTCCAGGTTGAAATGCTAAATTGGGCAATTTTTCAACCACCCACGCTAGGCTCCTATTTGAAATTCCATGACTTGGTCAGCCCTGAGTGGCTTGGACAACTATCAGAAACCATGCTGCATGTTCTACAAACATCTCACTTCATTATTCCACATCAGTTCTACCGGGTCCATTTCTCTCAAACCATCAGTTCAAATGATGCTGATAAAGAGTAAGCAGGTTATTGAGTAATAACCTGTCAGTCACTTAAAATAACCCTCAGCATAATTCTGAGCATAGCTTCTGAAAAGAACTATTTGCATTTGGAACACTTAGAGAGCAGATAACCACTGCCCTTAGTCAAATGATCTGAATGTACATCATCCTCAACCTCCTCCTCTGAATAATTATCAGCAAGTGTAAAGAGCACCAAGGGTAGCATTTGTATTGTCGTGAGTTATTCAAATCTAATCAGCCAGCCTTCCTCACGCAGCCCAGCACCTTGCAGGCATTGCACATCAGGTTCTCACCAATTCCAGCTGCTTTCAGAGTGCTGTCTTCTTCCAACAGGAGTCTGTCGTCATCTTCCAAACTCATCACAAGTTCATTTGTCTAGAAAGAAAGAAAATCTACATTTTATCAGCACTTATATGTGTTTCATATTTGGTAAGATTTGTCAAAGACATGGAATTGTTCCTTTAGGTCATAGCAATATCCAAGCCATATTCTACTCCCATCATTGTAAGGAGAGAAGTGAACGGATAGTGAGTACCTACTAAGTACACACATTATGGAAAGCATTAGGAAGACAATGCTATAGCACAGAACTTTGGAGCTCAATCGGGGTTAAAATTCAGGCTTCAGCAATATCCAGCTGTATGTTCTCAGCAAACTACAAAGCCTCTCTTAAGACTCAGTTTCCCCATCTCTACAAAAGGGGTGAAAAGAATACATCTTCTCTATTGCTTTGTGCTGAGGATGAAATGAGATGAAGTGTCAGTCACATAACAAGAACTCTGTTAGCTGTTAAGTGTTCTCTTGTTGCCGCCCCACTGCACCACCACCACCACCACCAGCAGCAGCAGCAGCATCTCGTTCTCACAATATTCCAGAACAAATCAGATAGGTTAAGAAACAGACCCAGAGTATATGGCTCATCAGCCATGGAACCAAAGTCTGAGCTCAGACAAGTCTCACTTCTGAGAGAAACAAGTTTACTTTGATGGCCAAAGTCCATATATCTAAAAACCTTGCCCTAGCTAATAAACACTTGATCCCATGTCATATTAACTGTCACATTTCTCTGTGTGATTTGGGGTGGAAGTGGATGAGTGTGTTCTCCAATAGTTACAAATCCAGTTTACAATTATAAATATAGGAGAAAAATTTCAGTTGCTATCTGCCCCTAAAAAGCATACAGAGCTGACCACTGGTTGCACACACAGTACCACCTGTCAGCCAGAATGCATCTGTGTAGCAACGTATTCTACTTCTAGAATGTGGCTGAGAGGCAGCATCGACAGAAAGGCCTCTCAGCAGCCAAAAGAGAAAGCCCAGGAGCTACGCTCCATGGGTCACATCCTTACTCATGAGAGAACATAGAGGCCTGACCTCCAGAACACACAGAGGGAAAAACACTTTAATATTAAAAAATCATTTTAGAATAGGTGATATATATTCATGATACAAAATTCTCTAAGTACTTATGGACCAAGAGTGAAAGGAAGTCTCCTCTCAACCCCTATCCGCCAGCTCCGTAGTTCTCCACAGAACTAGTACTAATTCCTATGTGCCTCGCAGAAACTGTCTGTACATAGACAGGCAGGCAGAGATGTGCATGTAAACTTTCTTATGCAAACACTAGCATACCACATGCTGTGTTCTCACACTTTACTTTTTTCTCCTAAAATACAGCTTAAAACCTTTCAAAATCAGTATAAGAGTTGCCTCATAACTTATCAAGACTGCAGCACATTCCATTGAAGGGACACACAGACACGCACACACCAAGTCCCTATTGATGGCATTTAGGTTGTTTCCAATCTCTTGTTACCATAAACAAACCTGCAACAAATACCCCTGTACATGTATCAATTTGCATATGTACAAATTTTATCTGTAAAATAAACCCTGGAAGTAGAATTGTTGGGTCAGAGAGTAATGGCAACTTTACTTTGAAAAATTTTATTTTGACAATCTTTATTAAGTTTCTCTCCAGAGAACTGGTACCAATTTACATTAACATTACCATACCCTTGCTGACACAATACATTATCAAAACCTTTCTGATCTTTGCCAACTTAATAGATATAGATTAAGTGTAGTCTTAATTTGTATTTATTTTATTATAGAATTATAATTTATTATAGGTAAAGTTTAAATATTTTCTGCTTTTAAATTAACTTGTAGGGTAATATTTAGGATAGAATTGTAGAGTATCATTATATATTAGCACAATTATATACTAAAAAAATTATGCTTTTTCTATAATTTATAAAATTTCCCCCCCAGTTTTCATTTGTTCTTTGATTTTTCTAATAGTAGTTTTAAATAGAAGTACTGTTTTTTGAATAAATAATTAATGAAGTAAAATTACTCTTTTATTGTTTTTGGGTTTCCTATCATACTTAGAAAGACCTTCACTCAAAGACTAGTTTTAAAATGTCATGTTTTCTTAAAGTATTTTAATTAATTTCATTATTTAACTTTTCAATTGTAAGGAATTTCGAACATACAACATAGAGCCTGAACATGCACAATGAACCCTCCACGTACCCATCACCCAGCCTGAATAAATTAGCTACTCATGCTCAGTCTTTTTCACCTCTATTCCCATGTATGGGTTTCATTTTCAATTTAAGTCATTAATCCAATGGGTATTTATTTTCGTATAAAGAAAAGCGTTTGGATTAAACTTAACTGTTTTCTAGATGTCTACACAGTTGTCCCAATAACATTTACTAAATGTTAATAAAATAACAGTTATTAAATTCATATTTATTTTAGAATAAATATGAAGAGCCATATTTATTCTAAACTAAATTCCGATATATATTTGGGTCCATTTTTGGACTTTCAATTCTACGCTATTGAACTAACAGTTCATGTGACAATACCACATTGTTTTAATTACTATAGTTTTATAATATGTCTAATTTATGCTATAGCCAGTCACTCATTTCTCTCATTTTCTTGACTATTCTTCATTATTTATGTTTTGCATATTAGTTTTATAATCAGCTTCATATTATATGAACATACACACACACACACCCCCACACGAAACTTTTGTTAGGATTTTGTTGGGGTGGCATTAAATTGGTGAATTAATAAAGAAAGACCTAGTATCTTCATGTTGCATCTTCTCCTCCAAAATATCCTAAGCATTTCTATTTAAGTCTTACTTTGGATCCCTCTTCACATGTTGTACTTTTTTTAAAAAATTAAATTGAGGTAGAATTTCACATAAATAAAATGTACATATCTTCAGGAGTTCAGTTCAATGAGTCTGGACAACTGAATACCCTCATTTCTAACTTTCTTCTTAAAGATCTCATGCATTTCACATAAAGTTTATTCCAAGGTGTGACTTCCTTTCATAAATTTTTAACACATATAGCTATCTGGTTTTCAAACTCACAGAATATAAGATAGAAATTAGAGTTTTTATTTTAAATCTTTTTACAAGGAATTATTCTGACTTTACAAATAGCCTACTGATTACAATCCATAATACACATACAAATACATTTTCCTGAAAACCATAAATGATATTATGATAGTTATTTGTACTGTATTGATTTATTCATTCAATGAACATTGAGCTCATATTCCAAATAGGAGGTTCTGGTAGGACAGTATCCAAACAACCTTTTTTATTATGGTGATGGGAAGAAATTTCTGTAGACTCCTGCTAATTGTAATTAAGAAAGTTACTCTAAAACTAGAAAGTTCGGAGAATGGGGAAAATCATCTTTGTAAACAAATTCATTAAGATATAGGAGTTATTTGGAAGCCCCTTCCTTTGGCTGAGGAAGGAGACTAAAATTACAGCTGGGTTGGAAAACTGACAGGCTGGATTCAGAGATGGTTACAGGCCCTGCAGGTGAGGAATAAAAGCTGGGTAATGGGAAAAAGGTCTGGGAACTGGATAAGGCACAAATGAGGACACATGGGAGAATTTATTCTAAAGTTTTAAAATTGTTTCTGTAAAAATATATTCCTCTTTCTTCATGGAATCTGAAGAGAAAACTTGAAGAATCATCCCCAGGTGCCTACTGAACTAAATTTGTTATAGTTTAGATAAAATTTATAAATTCTGATTCCAGAAACAATTAAGTAACTTAGTTTGTTTTGGGAATCCCTCTGTAAATAAGTACATTGTTCAACTGGAAAAACAAACCCTAAATGTGCAACTCTAACCTGCTAGCATAAAATATGTTTAAATATAAGAAACAACTCTTAATATATTTCCAACTATAGGAAGAAAATTTCCTGGTTTTTAAAAAATGTCATAATATCAATTATTTGAATATATTGAAGTAGGTCTTCATTAGGATAAAGGAATTAATTTTATTAATGATCATTTTTAAGAAACATGAGCAAATGAACAAGCTTAACAAAGTAACAATGGAGAATGGCGTGACACACTCTACAACCACTTCTTTGTTTTCTCTTCTTTCTTTTCTTCCCTTCTTTCCTTCTTTCTTCTTTCTTTCCTTTCTTTCTTTTAATGATACTTAACTGGGTTTTGTTAGCTTATGTTGGTATGTTTGTTATGGTATAGTTAACATCTTCTTTTATTTTTCAAAACTCTAGATTACTTGCAGGGCACATTTTAGATGAGATCATGGTCATGAGGTACCCTGCTTTAACCTAGACATCCTTAAGTGACTTTTCAAATAGCATATTGTTTAATTTTACTTTTCTTTTATATTTACATATATATACAACCCTGTACAATAAAAGCAAGCTTCCTATTCTCCACAGTTTAGAGACAAGGCTGTAAACATCCCAGGCCTGGAGAAGAGAAATTGTATGGAGTCTGTGGTCAGGTACAATGCAAAGTTCTAGCACCCATACAAAGTGCAGAAACACAGCTCCAGACAAACATGAGCACTACATTTTAAAGCATCTGATAATGGACGCTGTTAAAACATGCAATCCCAGGGCAGGGCGGGGGGCGGGGGCAGGGTGTGTGTGTGTGTAAACATAAAGTTATTGGAAAGGACCAACCCTGCCAATACCTTGATTTTAGCTCACTGAAACTGATTTCAGACTTCTGGCCTCCATAACTATAAGAAAATAAATATGTTATTTTAAACTACAGGGAAAAAATTTTTTTAAGTTACTAATTCATAGTCAAGATACATACCCTCATGCTATTTTCTTTACAATCTCTGGTATACATTTATTTGAAAGTTGATTGACCTTACGGAAGGCATCTATGTCCAGAAAAGGGAAAGACATTAAGTGAATTCATAAATAAATACTTCTTTCAAAAGTTGTTATAGAAACATTCCTGTGAATGAGGCACAGTGCTAGGTGTTGGCGCTGTGAAGAAAAAGATCTCCTCCCTCGTCATTGAGTAGTGTATAATAGTAAAATTACTACTATAATTAGGAGTCAATGTAAGGGTCATTGAGATTCAAGAAAAAAAAGATCACTTTAGCCTATGTAAGACATAAATCTTTTATTGTGACTTCATAAAAAAATCACTCTGAAACAGTAATGAAACAGAAATGTAAACATACAATATACACATAAATAAACAGTTCTCTTTGGGGCAGGTAAGAAAACGTTAGGATTGCAGGCCATGAGCTCTGCAGAACTAGAAGGTATGCTCCCCAGAGCCACAGCCTTCTCTTACAAAATGGGAAAGTCCAGTCAGAAAAATCAGATTATTTTTATTTGTTTTTGACTCCTTTCTTTCTGTATAGGATTAAGAAAATGAAAGAGACTGGTTTGTGAGAAAAGTGGCTTGCTTTAGATGTCACCTGAATTTTAGGCTCACTTATGTTACAAAGTTTTAGGCTCATTTTATGTTAATATTTGCTTGATATTTAGGATAATATGTATCCTTTTTTAAAAAATTAACACTTTTTAAAGAATCTACTAAACAAGGATATGACTTAGAATTTTTTTCTTTAATGAAAAGGTAAAGCTGCAAAAGGGGTATTTACGAAATAAAAAACTGTTATGAAAATGAAGATATTTTAGAACTACATGTATGCATTCATTTATTCACTAAGTTAACCAATATTTTCTATGTGCCAGATACTATACATATAAAACATACCTTTGATTTATGTGCTTGATGAATAATCTTTAATTTATCTGAAAGAAAAAAAACAAGTCATCTTTTTATAAAGACTATTCTAAAACTTCATTTCAAATTATTAAAGTGAGATGAGAGAAAAGTGTCTATGGTATTGAGAAATGAAGTCCTTACCTTATGACCAGGTTCTTTTAAAAATCAAGTATATAGTAAAAGAAAAGTTAATTGCATACCATTAAAATTAAAAATCACTGTATAAAAATATTTTAAAGCCTTGTTTTTGGACACACACAACTCTGTCAAACTATGTACATGCCATAACCTGAAGTCAACTCAGTACATTTCCCTTAAAATAGAAGACAACCAAATCACATTATTCTAGCCTGGTTTTTGAAGTAGCTAAATGCTAAGAAAAGCAAACTATGTAAAAATATTGTCTTAAATTAAAACAGACATTAACAAAAACACTTCCAAAGTATCTGCTAATCTCTCAGAATAGATACAGTGACAGGGGGTCAAATGATCACTCTGACAAGTCATTACCATTCCAAGAATTCAAACACTATCAAAGATCACTGGTAAACTGAAAAGAATAAAAATGGCAGAGGAGTGAGTGGAAGTCACAATGACCTCCTCCCAGGAGGCTCCCAATTTGAAATTACAACTAAATTGTGGAGAAATCACCTGGAATAAAAAACTGAACAACAGCAAGAGAGGAGCCTTATAACCTCGGACAGAGTAATCAACTTTAGTACAACCTAACTGGTAAGGAATGCGATAGAGACTCGAGAAGGTGGGCAGGAGACACACAGGTGGCTACACAAGGATATTGAAACAACCGGTTGGATCCCCCTGAGAATAGCAGGATCTAACCATAAGCGGGGATCTCCAGCCTACAGCACCAGAGCCCAAAAAGTACACAGAAGAGCCAGCTGCAAAAGCAGCAGGGTTGCTCTCTGTCAGAGACAGGCGGCTGGAGATGCAAAGAGCCATTTAAATGGTCAATGCATACATTTTTATTTGCAGCCACTTACCCTGGGCTTCAGCAAAGCTGGGGGTACAGTGGGCTAGAGATGCCTGAGGACAGACTGGGAAAAAGGCTTTGGGGAGAGAACTAAGGCAACAGAGGGAAGGATCCCAGTGCTGACTCATCCCCCACGCAGCAGCAGCCATCTTGCTCAGGCAACCACTGCCCTGAGCAGCAACAGTGTGAGAGGACACAACAGTCCCATCCCCATAAGAGATTAGACCCTGCCCCGGTAGTACTAAAGCCTGACTGCTGAGTGGCAACCACAGATAGTAGATCTGTGGCTAACGGGGGCGCAGAATGGTCCAGAGACACTTGAGGAAAGACTGGACATGGAGGCATTGGGGAGAGAGCGGAGAAGGCAGCTGGTGGGATCCCAGTGCTGACTCATCCCACATATGGCAGCAGCCATCTGACTCAGGCAGACTATTCCTCTGAGTAGCAGCAGCATGAAAGGACACAACAGTACTGCCCACTTGAGGGACTCTACCCCACCCTGTGCTGTCTGAGCCAGCCTGCTGAGTGCAGAGTAACTAGATTAACAGCTGGAGGAGACAGCCACGGACAGTAGATTCCTGGAACTCTCAAACAGACTGCCTAAGGTCAGACAGGGTCAAATCTGACATCATCAGAGGCAGATCCAGAAAGAAAAAACAGCTGTCTCCTACCACAGAAGTTCACACCGCAAAGTCAGGAAATCAAGCAGATCAATTTAAGAAACAGAAGCAAAAAAGAAGAGTCTCACAAATAATGGGAAGACAAAGAAATACGCCCCACTCGAAGGGAAAGGAGGAATCCCCAGAAAGAGAACTAAATGAAACACAAGCAAATAAACTACTAGATATTGAGTTCAAAACAACTGTTCTAAGGAGGCTCAATGAACTCAATGAGCTCAGAGAGAATTACAAAAACTACAGGGAAACTACAAGGAACTTACTGCAAAATATATCAGCATGAAAAAGGACATAGAAACTATAAGAGGAAATGAAGAATACAATTTCTGAACTGAAGAACACAGTAGAATAAATAAAAAACAGGTTAGATGAAGCAGAGGAAAGAATCAGCAAGCTGCAGAATAAGGTAGAAAAAAGCTCCCAGAAAGAGCAAGAAAATCAAAAAAGACTAAAAAAGAATGAAGAGGCATTTAGGGAAATGCAGGACAACCTGAAACATAATAATATCCGTATAATAGGGATATCAGACAGAGAAGAGGAGCAAGAGATAGAGAACATGTTTGAACAAGTAATGATGGAAAACTTCCCTAATTGGAGGAGAGGAAAAGTCACACAAGTCCAGGAAGCACAGAGGGTCCCATTTAAGAGGAACTCAAGGAGGCCCACTCCAAGACATATCATCATTAAAATGGCAAATGTCAAACACAAACCAAATCTTAAAGGCAGCAACAGAGAAAGAGGTAGTAACACACAAGGGAGCCCCAATATGGCTAGCATCTGACTTCTCAACAGAAACACTACAAGCCAGAAAGGAATGGCAAGAAAAAATCCAAGTCATGAAAGGCAAAGTCCTGCAACTAAGACTGCTCTACCCAGCAAGGCTCTCAATTAAAATGGAAGGAGAAATAAGGAGTTTCCCAGACAAAAGAAGGCTAAAAAAATACATCTCCACCAAACCAGCATTGCAACATATGCTAAAGGGACTGCTTAAAGATGAAGAAAAAGAGTCCATGAATACCCAGTTTCTTTCATAGTCACCAATACTTGATATTACCAACATTTTTAATATGTATTAATCTGATTGTGACGATGATATCTTATTTTAATTGTTCCTTCATTATTTGTTGAAACTAAACCTGTTTTTGTATATTTCTTGCCTACTTCTATTATTTTTAAAAAGCTTTAAATGACTTTTAGGTATTCTTCGTCCATTTTTTGACTAAATGTTTGCAAAATTTTTCCTCTAAAAAAAAACAAATCATAACTACTAACACCCTTTTACAGATGTGCTGCAAATACTTTTCTATTCTGTTCCTTGTCCTTTAACTTTTTTTATATGTATATTACTATATAGACTTAAATGTTTAATATAGTCATATTGTCAATATTTTACTTTATAGCTTCTGGGCTTGAATATTTTACTTCAGGGTGAGAAAAATATTAGTTTGTATTTTCTTCAAAAACTCCTTAGATTCTACATACTGATTTTTAACTCACCTGAATATTTTTTGTAGAATGTGTGAAATAGGGTTCTATATTTGTTTTATTTCAAGTAATAGTGGCCCATGCATCTTATCTGTTGATTAAGCCTTATTTTCCCCACTGATTTTAAATATCAATTTAATCATATATTAAATTGTTAGACAGATATATCCATGTGTTTCTAGAATGTTCATTTTATTGCAATGATCTGCTTCATTATTTCTGTGCTGGTATCATGTTGTTTGAATTGCTGAGACTTCATAATGGATTTAAATGTTTTAATATTTTATAATGGATTTTGACATTATAAATAAATAAATAAATAAAATCTGCATTAAAACAAAAAAGAAAGAAGGAAATCCCACCTTTTGCGACAACATGAATGGAACTGGAGAATATTATGCTAAGTGAAATAAACCAGCTGATGAAAGACAAATACCATATGACCTCACCAATAAGTGAAATCTATTCAACAAAATAAACTAACAAACAAAATAAACCACAGGCAAAGAAACATGGAGCAGGCTGAAAGTGACCAGAGGGGATGGGGAAGGAGGACAATGGTGGAAAGGAGAAGGGACTAGACAAAGAGCATGTATGAATGACCCATGGACATGGAGAAGAGAGTGGGAATTGACTGTGGGAGCGGGGATTGGGGGTGGGACGGGTGAAGGAAGGCAAAGGGGGAAAAATGGAGACAACTATAACAGAATAAACATGATTTTAAAAATATTTTTAAAAAAGATCACTGATAATCTAAAAATCTACTAATGCACAAAAAATACCAATATCAGCTTCCTGGTTTTCTACTATTTCACAGGCTTACACCATCTAACCTGCTGTATTCAATCTTTCCATCTCTCCTTAATCTTTGTCTTTTTTAAAAAATGAATATATCGGGGTGACATTTGTTGACAAATCTTATAGGTTTCAAGTGTACAATGCAACAAAAAATATCATCTGCAAACTGTCTCATGTGTCCCCCCGCCCCAAAGGAACTCTCCTTTTATCCCCACCCTTTATCTACCTCCTCCTACTCCTCCATCCTTTTCTTCTGGCTATCACCACATTGTTGTCTGTGCCTATGTTATATCTCTATGTGTAAATGTACCACTGCTTTTTTTACCAAATGTACCACTTATGTACTGACGGACACTTGGGCTCTTCATAGACCTTGGCTATTGTGAATAACGCTACTAAGAACATAGGGGTGCACATATTCTTTTGAATTCATGTTTCAGGTCTCTTCAAATATATTCCCAGAAGTGTGATTGCTGGGTCAAAAGGCAGTTCCATTTTTAATTTTCTGAGGAAATTCCATAGTGTTTTGATTACTATGGCCTTGTAGTATAGTTTGATATCAGGTATTTATTGTGGTACCTCCAACTTTTTTGTTCTTTCTCAAGATTTCTGAGGCTATCCAGGGTCTTTTGTGGCTCCACCTAAATTTTTGGAATAGTTGTTCTAGATCTCTGGGATATGCCATTGGTATTTTAATAGGAATTGTGTTGAATCTGTAGATTGTTTTGGATAGTATGGATATTTTAATGATGCTAATTTTTCCTCTCCATAAACACGGTATATGCTTCCACTTATTTGTATCTTCAATTTTTTTCTTCAGTGTCTTATAATTTTCCTAGTACAGGATTTTAACTCCTTGGTTAAATGTATTCCTGGGTACCATATTTGTTTTTTGTTACAATAATAAATGGGATTATTTTCTTAGTTCTCTTTCCATTCATTATTGGCCTATGGAAATAGCACTGATTTCTGAATATTAATTTTGTATCCTGAAACTTTAGGGTTTCTGTATACAGTATATCATCTGCAAGTAATAAGAGTTTTACTTCCTCCTTTCCAATTTGGATGCCTTTTA